CTAATTATCATCGGTTCCTTTGGTTTTGATTTCTGGTATTTTTGACAGAGCTCACAATGCTTTGTGTGTTGTTCGATATCCTTGTTCATGGATGGCCAATACAAGGCATTTCGGGCGCGGTTCTTCATTTTGACTTCTCCACAATGTCCTTGATGTAGTTGTTGGAGCACTTCTGAACGCTTCGCTTTGGGAACTATGATGCGGTTGGATCGCATGACGATGCCCTCCTCGACGTGTATTTCGTCTCTGTATGGCCAGTATAAGCGTGCTCCCTCAGGAAGATGCATTTTGTCACTCGGCCATCCCATTTCATGAAGTTTCTTTAGTGTCGCGGTTTCCTCATCCTGGTTGGTCTCTTTCTGGTATTCTTGTAGGCGCTGATCAGCAATGGCTATGTGCCGAATGGTGCTAAGACGGGGTTTATATACGAGTGCTTCTTCCAGCGGGTTCCGCGATAGGAAGTCCGCGATGTGTAGCTCCCTGCCAGGCCTATATGTCACCTTTATATCGTAGCGCTGAAGGGACAATCGCATCTGTTGTAAACGTAGCGGGATTTGATGAAGCGGTTTTTTGAATATCTGCTCCAACGGTCGATGGTCCGTTTCCACTAAAACATCCGAACGGCCGTACACGTAGTAGTGGAACCTCTGGCAGCCAAATACAATAGCCAGGAGCTCACGCTCTATCTGTGCCCAGCGCGTTTGCGGGTCGGTGAGTGATTTGCTTGCGTAAGCAACCGGCTTACCGTCCTGCATGATCACAGCACCAACACCTCTCAAGGACGCATCGACTGACAATGTCAATGTCCTCCTTGGGTCGAAGTATTGTAGAACTGGGGCGCTCACAAGCGCCTTCTTCAAATCATCGAAAGCCTGCTGATGGCCTGGCTGCCAGTCGAATGGACAATCTTTCTTTATAAGATCCCTCAAAACGGCCGTCTTGTCTGATAGATGATCGACGAATTGGGACACATAGTTCACCATTCCGAGGAACTGCTGTAACTGCTTGATGTTCGTTGGCGCTGGGACTGTCTGTATGCTTTTTATTCGTTCCTCATCGATGGCCGTTCCTTCGGTCGTTAGCACGTGGCCCAAGTACTTGACGGATTTCTGAGCAAATTGGGATTTTTTCTTATTGAGCACCATGCCAACTTCCCCACATCTCTGCAGTACCCTTCGTAACCGTCCATCGTGCTCTTCCCGCGTTTTTCCCCAAACCAAGATG